TAACATGCACAAAAACAAGATAGAGCAAAACCAAGCAACAATATACAACAAAACAACAACAACAAACCAATGACAAAAAAAAAGTCTGTAAATAGTTCAAGGTCTGTTTGTTGACCTTTAGGAGTGTTTTCTGGTAGAGTCTGATGGGGTGTCACACCCTGGCCCCAAAGTCTATTTTTGGTACTCCCTTGGGACTTCCTTGCTCTGCTCCCCTTGCTGTTCTGTTGCACGTGCAGTGTTTTGCCCCAGTGTGGTGGGGTCAAATCGAACACAATTCCCACACTGTTCTCCAGTGTTGTCCCCTGTAGGGCTATGGATCAGTGAAGGATATCGTGTCTCATAGTGGGGCCAGCCATTTAGTCCTCTCTGCATTGGTTGCTCTGAGCAGGAATATCATCCTCAATGCTTTGTGGGCAGGATGTACTCCACTCTTTCTTCATCCCCCTTCATTTGTTCCTGTGTGCTCTGATTAGACATGTCCCTCTACCTGAGTTGTAGCTTCAGTGCTGTCCTCTGCAGTAAATTCTTCTGTGGGAGGGACAGCTGTCCACGTAGTTACTCCCATTACTATTTCTGAAGTGTTTATCTATCTTGGATTTCATGCATCAAATGACCTTAATTATACAAATGAGCATACACAGGTCTCACAAGATTAATGAGGTAAAACTAAGACCATAATAGGAAGGAGAGGAAATATTAAAGATATTAAAGAACTAGAGGATATTTATGTGTTTTTAAAATTATAAAATATATGCATGTTCTTTGTGGAAAAGTTGGAAAATACAAAATTATATAAAGAATAAAGTTAAAAATCACATTTTCTTAACACTTAGTGATAACTACTGTTAGTATGTTGTAACAATATTAGTATTTTACTAATATTTTAATATAATCTCTTTTCTGTATACATCTACCTTATTTATTGATGATTCCCATGATACATATTGTTGGGAGGGAAGAGGGGGAACTTCATAAATTTAGGGAAATATTCCATTATTTTTTAAATTCCATTTTCTCATGAGTTTTTTCATACCCCGTAGTGTTCTGCATTTACAATAATAATGAAAAAACTGTTGCCTATTTAGTGCATTAATGAGTCTAGCGATAACAAATGCTGAAGTGAGAAGTAAAAAGTAAAGTGAGCACAAAAACAAAAAAAAAGAAGTAAAGTAAGAACTGCCAGTGATAGCTAAGGTTATAGATCCTCTTGCTAGGGCCTTCATTTTCAGTGGTTTGACAGTTATGTAATGATGAAACTTGGCACTTATATAATAATATGTCATTTTCTATTTTTGTGATCTGATGCATTCAACCTTCCATTTTTACACCCTGATTTTGCACAAAAATCTGGTCTTTGGAACCTAACCATGCCAATAAGTGGCGAGTGGTGTCCATGTACTAAGAGCATTAAAAAATGTCATCGAAAATCAGAGTTGAAAGATAATGGACTTTTGATTGCACAGCTTTAAAAAATATATCCAAACCATTGAATTGTATGATGTGTGAATTATGTCAATAATACTATTTTTAAAAAGGGATAATGAAATTTTTCCATGAACTCTCTCATACAGAAACAAAACCCAAATTTGAATTTACTTACGGCTTTAAATACTCTTCAAAGGCATGATATTTAACATTTGTAATATATTTTATCTTATGGCAGTATCATCATATTTCATAGCATTCCTGTTTAATAAGATCATTTTTTAATTAAATACTTTTGTTGGGTGCTCTTACATCTCTTATCACAATTGAATCCATTCATCCATTGTGTCAAGCACATTTGCACATATGCTGGCATCATCATTTTCAAAGCATTTTCTTCCTACTTGAGCCCTTGATATTAGCTACCCATTTCTTCCCCCTCCTTTCCAGCTGGCCCTCCCTCACGAACCCTTGATAAGTTATAGATTATTATTTTCATATCTTCCATTGTCCTCTGTTGCCCCTCACCCACTTTTCTGTTGTTTGTCCTCCTGGGAGGTTGGTTATAGGTTGATCCTTATAATCCATTCCCCCTTTTCCCCCCACCCTCCCTTAATCCTCCTAGTATCTCTACTCATTGTTGGCCCTGAGGGAGTTTATTTATCCTGGATTCCCTGTGTTGCGGCCTTTTGTCTGCAGCAGTGTGCATGTTTTGGTCTAATCCGATTTATAAGGTAGAATTAAGGTCATGACAGTGAGAGAAAGGAAGCATCAAAGAACTAGAGGAAAGTTGTGTGTTTCATCGGTGCTATAAGATCATTCTTTCATTCACTGTTAACATTAAAGGAATATTATGTATATGAATATTTAGCCACATCTATGATTATTTGCTTAAGGTCAGTTTGTGGTACTGGGAATACTGAATTGAAGGATATTCACAGGTTTTTTTTTTGCTTTTTTCCGTCCCTTTATTTATTTTTTCCCTGTGTGCAAATTATGATTTGCCAACTTGTCCACATTTCTTTTTTTTTTTAAATCATTTTATTGGGGGCTCCTACAACTCTTATCACAATCCATACATACATACATCAATTGTATAAAGGACATTTGTACATTCGTTGCCATCATCATTCTCAAAACATTTGCTCTCCACTTAAGCCCTTGGCATCAGCTCCTCATTTTTCCCCATCCCTCCCAACTCCCCCCTCCCTCATGAACCCTTGATAATTTATTATTTTGTCATATCTTACACTGATGTCTCCCTTCACCCACTTTTTTGTTGTCCATAACCCTGGGGTGTAGATCCTTGTAATCGGTTCCCCCTTTCCTTCCCTTTAGTATGGTTTTTCCTCTCTGTTATTACCAAGATTTTAAAAATAAACAGAGGCAATGGTATCATTCAATCTCACATACTAGGTGACCATCTTTTTAAGGCCCTGGGTAGTTGTGACTTAACTGATTTCTGGAAAGGACTCAGTAATTTCCATATATACTGGCAGTAGATGTGTATCTTTGCCTCACCTTTTATATGTGTCTTCACCAGCTTGATGAGTGAAACAAGTATTAGTGTTCTGATGTACTATTTTTTATTGCTAGTGAAATTGAATATTTAAAATATATCTATTATCCATTTGTTAACCTGCTATTAGCTTTTTGTGGGCTTTAAGGAAATTAAAGCTTAGAATTTTCATTTAGTAAAATGTGAAAATAGTTTCTCTTCACTTGTGTACTTTGAAAGCCCACCTATGTTTTATTCTAGTTTCTTCATCATTTAAATACTGACACTTTAGTAATTTATTAATTGATACTTTATTTAAGTTTATCTAAGTAACACAAATTCTTTTTTTTAAATCATTTTTTGGGGGTTGTAAAACTCTTATAACCTCAAATTCTTAATAGTAAGAATTTATACTTAGTAAGAATTTAAGCCTATTTAATAAGAATATGTTAAAGTACATTTAATATATCTAACTTAGTTGTTTTTCCCCTTTGAGCCCAATTTTTATAGTATTGGAGTTTGAATAATATTTTTTCCTTATTGGTTTTATTGATTTATTACCATAGTCTAAATAATTTGTGTAGATGATCTCTTCTGTTTTCTTCTTTTTTTATTAATAAATCACGAACCCTTGATAATTTATAAATTATTATTATTTTTTCATGTCTTACACTGAGTGTGCTTCTTCCATGTGGGCTTTGTTACTTCTCAGCTAGATGGCTGCTTGTTTATCTTCAAGTGTTTAAGACCCCAGACACTATATCTTTTGATAGTGAGGCACCATCAGCTTTCTTTACCACATTTGCTTATGCGCCCATTTTGTCTTCAGCGATCATGTTGGGAAGGTGAGCATCAAGGAATGCCAGGTTATTAGAATAAGGTGTTCTTGCGTTGAGGGAGTACTTGAGTGGAGACCCATCTGCTACCTTAATACTAAACCTATAAAGACATGCTCATAGATCTATTTGTCCATCGTCATGTAGAAACATATTTACATATGTACATGCCTGTATTTAGACCTCTATAAATGCCCGTTGCCTCCTAGTTCTTTCCTCTATTTGCTTTTACTTTCCTCTTGTCCCACTATCATGCTCAGCTTTCATTTGTGTTTTTGTAATTCCTCTCAGTTACATTGCCCTTGATCAAGCCCTACCAGGCCTCCTACACCCTCCTCACCATCAATTTTAGATCATTTGTTTCCTTTTCCCTGGGGTTGTTAACACTCACTTCTTTTCCCCTGCCTCCACCTCTCCTATGTCCCCCAGAACCGTCAGTCCTGTTTTTTTTCTCCTTTAGATTGTTTGTCCTGCCTACCTTATCCAGATAGACATGCAGAGATAATAGTATGCACAAAAACAAGACAGAGGGAAACAAACTACAAAGCAACAACAACAACACACTAAAAAACCAACAACAACAAAAAGAAAAGCCTATAAATAGTTCAAGGTCTGTTTGTTGACCTTTGTGAGTGTTTTCCAGTCGAGTCTGATGAGGTACCATGCACTGGCCCCACAGTCTGTTTTTGGTATTCCCCAGGGACTTCCTTGCTCTGCTCCCCTTGCTGTTCTGTTGCACACCCTTAGTGTTTCACCTCGATGTGGTGGAGTCAGATCGGGCACAATTCCCACACTGTGTCTCCGGTGTTGTCACCCTGTAGTACTATGGGTCAGTGAGGTTCCATGTCTCCTGGTGGGGCCGGTCCTATGATCCTCTCTGTGCATAGGCTGCTCTGAGCAGGAATATATCATCCTCAGGGCTTGGTGGGCCAGGATGTGTTCCACTCTCTCTCCTTCCCCCTTTGTTTGCTCCTGTGTGTTCTGATTAGGCATGTCCCTCTCCTTGACCTGTAGCTTCAGTGCTGTCCTCTGAAGTGAATTCTTCTGGGGAGAGAAGGGGCTCTGTTTTATTATTAATCATACTGATTAGTAGCTTTTAAAACAAGTAGAATTTATGGTATTATATGTTTGGATTGTAAATGATGTCTGTTGTAACATGTATGTTCAATTTAAATATTTTCTTGTGTTTTTATGAAGGTACACTTGGGTGACTGGTAAAGAGCCACTCACATACTGTGATATGAACTTGTCTGCTCAGGACCATCAGACCTTTTTTACTTGTGACACAGACTTTTTACGCCCTTCAGACGCAGGTGGGTATCATGTCTATTCATGTGACAAATGGTGATCATGAAAGTCGTTTAAAAGATTCTTCGTGTTATAATAAATAGAGGTATCTGGATTTGAGTTGTTTTCATCATGATAAGGAACACAAATGGAAACTAATTATGATTGTAAAATAGGCTAATACACTAATTTTCCTTGTAATAAAGAATTGGCAAGTATTTCACTTAAAATATTAAATTGTTTCTTTTAATACTTAAACTTCCTTTCAGATCAAATACAGAAGCTGTGTATATAGAGTATTAACTCTATTTGGGTCTGAGTAATAAATGTATGCAACTATACACAGGAGAAAAGGGCAGGAAAATATGTACAAGTGTAAGGAATAGGATGAAAAGAAAATTGTTTATATTTTACTCATCATAAATTAGAGATGCATGTGAAGTGGTAGAAGCTCATAGAAAGTATCTGTATTTAGTCCTCTCTGAGGCTGTGTAATACACTATGTATGGGAGTATTGAGACTTTTCAGTGTGTGGATTAAAGATGTTGCTGTACTGCACTCTCCCACTTATGAGCTACATTTTAATCCTTTAAGATCCAAATTAAAAGTCACATTCTCTAGGAAGCTCTCTCTAGCTCTCCTGATACAATATTAAGTACTTTTTTTTCTTGTTTTTTTTTAAAGATCATTTTATTGGTGGCTCTTACAGCTCTTATAACAATCTATATATCAATTGTATCAAGCATGTATGTACATATGTTGCCATAATTATTTAAGTACTTTATTTTTGGTAACAGTTTTATTGGCACTTAATCCACATATCACACAATTCAATAGTTCAATCACATCAAGAAGAGTTGTACAATCATTACCACACACCAGAAATATTCATTAGCACAATAAATTTTGGAACATTTTGCCCTCCTCCGCCCCCCTAAGATTATATCATTTTTAAAATGAGTCGTGTAATCATCATCAGTTCTAGAGAGTGTTCCGTCCGTCCCTTTCTCCCTCCCTCCCTCCCTCCCTCCCATGTGTTTGCTCCCCAAACCCCCTCAAGCTCCCTATCTCCCACCCTGCAACCCTACCTCTCCAATAAACCTTGCAGTTGCATCTATATGCCTCCACTCCTTTTGTGTTTCACAACCTGGAAAACACAATACTTTCTTTTTTGCATTTCTGCTTTGCATAGTTCAAACTTCTGGGAAATCATTTTATTATATTCAACCACAAACATTTATTTGTTAATATTATCATATGGCTTTCATGTTTGTCCTCCCTAGTGGAGTGTGAAATGTTGCTGGCAAAGACTATCTTCATCTTTGTACCTAAAATGTTGTTTGGTGTATTATAAAATTTACTCTTTAATGGAAGTGTGAATGAATGAGGTATGACAGATATCTTAAGGAATTTCACTAATAGTATGTAATACTTGTAGAGCATGTACTATGTGCTAGCCACTGTTCTAAGAAATCTATGTAAATGTGCTTATTTAACCTTCTCAGTCACTTGACAAGATAGATAATATTCTTTTTGTTTGTTTTAATAGATAATATTTTTGTGTGGATTTTTTGTAATCATTTTATTAGACCCCAGACACTATACTTTTTGATAACCGGGCCCCATCAGCTTTCTTCGCCACATTTGCTTATGCACCCATTTGTCTTCAGTGACCTGTTTGCATAAAATTATTTTTACTGCTACTTCATAACTGTAATTTTGCTACTGTTATAAATCAGGCGACTCCTGTGAAAGAAAGAGTCATTCGACCCCCAAAAGGGGTCACAACCCACAGGTTGAAAACCGCTGAACTAGAGGAATGTTGTATGTTTCATTTGTGCTATGCTGCACCCTGGCTGACTCCTTCCTTTCTTGTAACCCTTCTGGGAGGGGATGTCCAGTTGTCTACAGATGGGCTTGGGGTCTTCACTCTGTCCCTCCTTGTTTGCATCAATATGATTGTTTGGGGTCTTCTGATGCCTGATACGTGATCTGTCAACACTTCGTGATCACAGATTGGTGTGCTTCTTCCATGTGGGCTTTGTTGCTTCCCTGCTAGGTGGCCACTTGTTTATCATCAAGCTTTTAAGACCCTAGATGTGCTATATCTTTTAATAACCGGGTATCATTAGCTTCCTTCATCATATTTGCTTATGCACCCATTTTGTTTTCAGTGATAGTGTAGGGAAGGTGAGCATCACAGAATGTCAGATTTTGGAAGAAAGTGTTCTTCCTTTGAGGGGTTACTTGAGTAGAGCCCCAATGTCTATCTGCTACCTTAATACTTAACATATAAATATATGTATATAGACCTATATCCCTATCATATGTAAATATGTTTACATTGGTATGAACCTATATTTATACCTCTATAAATGTATTTGCCTCCTAGTTCTATCCTCTATTTCCTTTTAACTTCCTCTTGTCCCATTATCATGTTCAACCTTCATTCAGCTCTCAGTAATTCCTCTTGGCTACATTGCATTTGATCAAACCCCATCAGGGATTTTAAGTCCTCCTCGCCATTGATTTTAGATAATTTGTTCCTTTGTCCATGGGTTTGTTGGCTCCCCCTTCCTTTCCTCCACTTCCCCTTCTCCCATGTCCCCCCGGAACCTTTGGTCCCTTTGTTTTCTCCTC